ATGCAGGTCTGCATATATTATTAGTATTTAAATAAACAAACACTGTTTTCTTTCTTGGGTTGAGTTTTTCTTGAACACATCTCTCTTCCATTGCCGGAAAATGAAAACCGTTGGATGGAATGGGAAAGTTTCGATGATTTTATTCCTTATATTAAGTACTAAGTCAGTAAGTAGTGCCGATTTGGCTTGTATGAGATGCAAATCATTTTCTGAAATTGCATGGAAAGGCTGGATTTGGTGACCCCTTTCTTGCTTCTGAAGGTGGCAAAGCGTAAAGGTGAAGACACGAAAGAGGGAGGTTATGACATGGTGCTTCTTTCTCTATCAACATACCTTCAGCTCTCATTTCATTCTCATTGCATTGCTCCCTAATTTTGCCAACAATCTCATGCTTTCCTTTCATTTATTTCCACAGGTTTCTTCTCTGGTGGCGACACGCATAACTGCTGTAACTAATTCTGAAACCTTCTCATTATTTTTGTTGCGACGTTGACATAATTACCTACACGTTTGAATGAAGACCTTCCACGCACTAGCATAATCTTCAACCACTAAACTAACCTTAATTTTTATGATTCTTCAGAATCCACCTCTGTTATATAGGCTCTGTCATGCCTCCAGGATATATGTGTTCTATGCTGTGCAGCGGTTGACTTTATCTCTTCCATTCATTTCTTAAATGGGTTTTAGAAGTTAACAGTACATTCTTTTTTATTTGCTATTTCCTCTTCAGGAATCAAGGTCACTTACTGCTTAACTAGACAAATTAATATACAGTCTATGCTATAGTCTCGATAAGTTGTCGTGTCATAAAGGCGATGCTGTAAGAAAACTCTCTTTTTCCCCCTTGTTTATGGAAAACCATGTCCACTTATTTTCCTCCCTCTATCTCTAGAGCTACAGAAGCACCATTCTATCTGTTATGTTATTTTGAAATCGTTGGGACTTTATTGAGTGTGATCACACTTTGGAAAACAGAATCTCGTGAATTTGGATATAATTACTTTCATGTTATACCCATTATCTATCTTGTATGAACAGAACCGTACTTTCCTAATGTCGTGAGGACCTCATTCCACTGATATTCCTGATTTGAAACATCCTAAAAAAGGTGCTCAAATCTTAGAGTAAAGAACAAGCAAATCACAGAATGATCACTCCCCAACAAATCTCTATGAAGATTGTCTCTCAGCAAAAAAAAGGCTTAAACATCCCCTTTGACAACACACCACTCAATCCCTCCGTCCTTGCTGGGACCATTATCACTGTGCAAGAGAATCAAATCATTCACTGCACTATTCATGACAATGCTTTTCATCTACCACCCGATCAGAAAGATCATAAACACTTGAAAAGCTGAGCTTTCAAAGATCCATCTGAATTCTGAAGTCGTCAAGCAGAAGCAGGAGAGAAGAAAATGAAGATCTCGAGGCTTTATTATAGCTTTCACAGATCAGTTCAGCTGTTGAAGTTTCAGAGAAAAACCAGAGTCTGCTCCTCCGTCACACTTGGTGGTAATGCTCACAGAAGGTCGTCATTGTCGTCATTTGGTTGTTTTCCTTCTTCAAGCATTCTGAGAGACGTAATCTGTAAGTTGAAGAATCGATGGAAGCAAGCTTTGGGATGGCGAACCAGTACCACTCAACATTATAGCTATGATCTTCGAAGCTATTGTCTCAACTTTGATGACAATCCTTCGAATCACCATATCCTCCCTCCTCCTCCTCCTCCTCCTCCTCTATCAAGATGATCGATCTTCTTCTTTTAGATCCTCCCTTTACTGAGTTATTATTATTATGATGATGAATAAGTCTCTCTGCAGATTCTTCTTCTTCTACCTAGCATCATGATAATGTTTTGCAAATTCCGTAACTGTAAAAAGTGGCTTGATTGATGACCGCTGCCCTTGTGAAAACAATACAAAAATTCTCTATTTTGATACGGTTTGTATATCATTTTCACGGTTGGTTTCAGGGGATGGAATATGGAATTTGTGAGACGGAGAATAGCTATCCAATCTCACACCTTCGTTCTCTCTGTTTTTTTTTTTTTCGGCTTGGGTTCCTCCATTGTAATTTCTTGCGATTCTTCTGTTGGCTATCTGGGAATCCAAAGATTAAAGGAGGATGCATTAGATAATTTGTGGTGATGTGACTTGAACACCTTTTTCAAATGGCATATTGCTTTATAAATCGTGGGTTCCAATCATGTCCTAGACCAAGAACAACAACATATCTTCTCATCTCTTTTACAGTACTGATTCGTAAAATTTTTAATTTTTTATGGCTTTTTTGGGCTGTGCTGCTTCAGGGGAAGGAGTTGTTCATTTCTTTTTAAAATCATATTTATTTCGAGATTCAGACCCGTTACTGGTGCAAAACAAGACATTGCAAGAAGCAGCAGATTTGATTTTCTTCTTCAAAATAGTGACTGCGGTGAAAAATGATTGTCTAAAGCAATCGTATTAGTACCAATTAAAATTATTATTCGTCTTACATAACTTCCTCTTGTTATTTTTATCAAACCTCTGTTGTAAAGTTCAGGTGAACAAAAAGTGTGAAAAAGTTAAACTTGTATCGGCCCTTTTTTTTCTTTTTTCATTCGACAATTAAAAGGACAAGTTGTTCTCCACTTCGGCATATTGATAAATGTGCTTATATTATTGTTATTGTTATTATTATCATTATTTTCTTACAGATTCCTCTCCCTCTTCTTCTTCTAGCCGATAACTTTCTTGTCAGACATTTTTTTACAGGCATGATAAAGAGAAAAGAATCTCTTTGGAGAAAACCACTTAAATCATGGCAAAAAAAAAAAAAAAAAAGAACTTGAATCAGTGATGTTTTTGTTTTCGTTCCATCACGGGATCTGAGGAAGCATCAATAAACACTTTTTCATGTTAGATTATTAAAAAAAAATCGAAAATTTTGAAATGAATTGTGTGCTTGTTCTTACAAGGTGAATAGTTACTTCCCTTGCATTATTTTCGTTCTTTAAGAAAATCAAAGTGGGAAATTAATTAGTTCACAGGACTCTTTTTTAGGTAGGCTGGCGAAGGGACCAGACATAGACTAAGTTAAGGGATCCGATTTATGGTTTTAGAATTGAACGAATTTTTAGATATAGAAACAGTAATTTTAATATTTAATGCTTTCACACAATTAATGACAAAATAAAATTGAAGAATAGTATAACCTTCTTAATTTTAAAATTTAAAATAACATATATCAATAAAGGTTGATCTAGTGAGTAAAAGTTTGATTTATAACTCATAAACTGTGTTATCAAATCTAGTTGTCAATGGTGATTAATTTATAAATATTTTTATAAGTTTAGATAATTTTAAAAGTAATTCATTCAAAAATGTATTATAATTATAAATGGAGGGAGTAATGATGATGGGAGTCGCCTGAATTGAAGTGGGAATTGGCAATGATTTTAGGAGGCAATCTTTGCAAGAAAAGAAGAGATGCGTGTCATGTGGCACTGATTACGGGCTTAAATTACAATATGACGAAATTCCATTAACCTAAATGATGTTTACAGTACAATGATATCTTGTCGGATCAACTCCTTCTGCACAGCTGTAATTTATTCATGTTCATCCACAACTGTTTAAAGTCTTTAAATGCTTACTATTTACTAAATTACATAAATCTCCTTGCTTGTGGCCGGCAAGATTTCCCAATACACATACACATATTTTCGTTTGATATCGCATATAAACTTGAATTAGAAATGCATCAAGTGCACGTAACATGATGACACAAAATTTGTTCATCTTCGTTATTAGAAGTTTTAAAATGAGTTTTATAATTGAATATAGCTATAGCCTCCTTTGGGATTGCCTGCGCAGCTCGATAGTTGATGCCCATATCCACCACCACCGCCTCTAGGTGATTATCATTATATTACTCAAGTGCGTGCCCATTGTTTTTGCCTATATATTCCGAACATATTGAGAAAGAAAATTACACGATCGCTATCACATGTTGCATTAATTCTCTGGATTTTTTTTTTTTTTTTTTTCTCCAATGGACGAGCGTTTTCTTTATTTTCCCCACATATACCAAAGACAACTTCATGGTTGTTGCAGTATTCCCGAGAGTGCATACAAATTTCTTTGACATAAGAGTACAAAGAAGAGAGTAGAGGGTAGCAGTGGAAAATAAGTGCTTCTTCACGCGATCTAATTACACAGTGCTGGCTTGTAATAGTTGCACTTGATCCATTTACTATACACACACATAATTTGTTGGCATATTCTATAAAAAATTATTTTGAATTGTGCTTAAAAACACTATCTTTTATAGGCAAAAGCTTATTATGAACATTGAGCAATGATCACTGATTAATGATGCCTTAATACAATTAAAAAAAATTTAAAGAATAATAACATTTAAATTATACATTACAAATGATTCACTAAAAACCTTGATTACCAATACATTACAGCTGTTACTTAAAAATTTTAAGGGCTAAACATTTTTGGAAATGTTAAGATTCCTAAAATTAATGTTTATATTGATTTAATGGAGTCCATATTCTTCATTTACTTAGTCTAAAGTCATATACTTTCAGCAATCATTAAAAGCATTAAAAATCTCATTCATGAGGAACTGAAAGGTTATTCTGAAACATGTTTACAGAAAAACAAATCGCTGTGTTGATCTTCAACTCACAAAGCCTCAAGCGACAATTTTAATACTATTTTATTTGATGACATTCCCATAAATTGTAAAAACATTTTAACTTCTGACATGATCTGATTTTGATCATTTTGTACGTTATTTTACCATAGCCTTATAGTATAAAAAAATTAACTAATAATTAATATTATTAATCAAAATAAAAATTCCTTGTGAAATATATTAAAATATTTAAAATATCCAACATAATTTATGCATGCCAATTCACATTCATACAAACGAGGGTCCCCCTGAGCTGTCATAAAAAAGTGCTGTCCTTCAACTCATAATGATGAATCTTCAAAACCGCAAAACCATATAGACTTTGCTCATCTCATGAACTCAACCTCGTGATCGCAACTCGCAAGTGATAGATCAAATAATGGCCAATTTTCTGGCAGCTGTACTATGGTCCCTGATGGTGTACTGGAGCAGCACAGTGAGCGGAGAAAATTGGGACATTGTGAAGTGGGGAAGAAGAGGATCCTCAGGATCGTCCTCGACCCTCAAGAGGTACTGCGAGAGCTGGAGGATGAACGTTGAAGTGAACAACATAAAAGGCTTCAGCGTGGTACCTCAAGAGTGCGTGGCTCATGTGAACAAGTACATGACCTCTTCTCAGTACAAGTCCGACTGTGAAACAGCAGTGGAACAAGTGAGGCTGTACCTGAGTTCATGCTGCTCCATCAAAGGCGACGCCAGAGATGCCTGGATCTTTGATATTGACGACACTCTCTTGTCCACTGTCCCTTATTTTAAGATCCACGGTTTTGGGTTTGTTTTTCTTACTTCGTTATTTATATTATATCCTTCCCTTTTGTGTTTTGTTTTTATTACCTCCATCATGACTTGACAATAACAAAATTTGAATTCGGTGGCTATATTTTGTACATGCATTGAGTGTTTATGACATCTGAATCGTTGAAATTCAGATTAATCGTTTAGATAAAATTACTTATTATTAATTAAAGTGAGGTATGAATTCATAATCATTGATTTGGATTTAGATGCTATATATTTAATGTCTGTATAAATATCAATACTGAATCTAAATTCGTCTGAGCTTTTGCTTCTTTGCACAATCTGCAATGCTTTTTGTAATTTTATTCCCCCACTAAATCAACCTTTTTAAATTAAGCCCCACTAGACTTGTGCTGTCCATCATATATTTTGACTACTTATTCCAGAATCCCGTCTAGATACCGAAGGCCGACCAAATTAGGGTTTCCACATGCGTATATCTGAAAAGAATAACATAATAATATTGTAAGGTTTTAGAGTCAGAAAACATACGTCGATGACGAATATGGCTTCTCTTGAACCACACGCACGGACTGGGTTACGATTACAGACCTCGCTTGAAGTTCTCACAGAAATTAAATACACAATATTTTCTTAAAAAAAGGGAGAATAGCAGAGAAGAATTCTCTGGTTGCGGGCGCGCACAATCAGTAGCCAGTTTCATATTTCGTGATTGAAATATGGGTAGCTACATAATTTTTGAAACCATAATTAAAACTTCTCCCCCAAGTTCTGTGAGCCCCAACCCTGAATTATGGATCCATATTTCAATAAATATAGATATCAAAGTTGTGATCACAGGAAAGTGTTATGATGAAGGTTGTGGTTGCAGGGGGGAAAAGATGAACTGGAGCAGAATGGAAGCTTGGATGAAGGAAAGCAAGGCACCGGCAATAGAGGAGACAGTAGGGCTGTTCCATGAAATAAGGAACAGAGGCGTCCAAATATTTCTGGTTTCTTCAAGGAAGGAGACACTTCGACCGGCCACTGTGGACAACCTTATCAAGGTTGGTTTTCATGGATGGACACGTCTCATCCTAAGGTATGTACTTCAATTCATACCTTTGTGGGGCATTTGGTTAATTAATGAAATGCATGAGAAGTACGTACAGTGACAGAGAATAAATAAATAAAAGAAAATGAATGTGGTGGGTGGATGCAGGGGGCTTGAGGAGGAAATAATGGAAGTGGGGAAGTACAAGTCAAGGGTGAGGCAACGGTTGGTGGAAGAAGAAGGGTATCGCATTTGGGGCATCGTGGGAGATCAGTGGAGCAGTTTTCATGGCCGCCCTTCTGCTCACTCCACTTTCAAGCTCCCCAATTCCATTTACTATTTATCTTAATTGATATTATATTATATTACTCCCCCCCCCCCCCCACACTTTCTCCTTTTCTACTTCCGCCCCTTCCTTTCTCACTAGTTAATTATATTACGTACCACACACGCCTCTCTTCCGCTAAATCTCCTCAACCTTTCTGGCTCTCTTTTGAATATTAGGCTCCACATCATTGCTTTCTTTCATATGTCCTGTACCGTGTATTTCCTAGCCAATTTACGATCGATGCATATGCTGATAGCCTGATCTCATATTCTAACCTCAATTAAAATAACAAATTTGAGAAAGGGTCAGTATTGACAATTAATGTAGGAATCCAATGATGCGCCGGTCTAGTTTTTTATTTTTCATTTGCCCTGACAAATTTGTCCATTTTAGTAAACCGTACGTGTATCAAGTAAATAAAGCCATCTTGCATGACAAAATAAAAATTAGAAAATAAATTCACCTATCATACAGCGAGCAAACAGTCGCGAAATTCATGTGCATTTTACGGGGATTAAAAAATTAGTCATTTATCTGTATTATACTTGTGCCGATCTCTCGAAATTTCACGGGAGAATTTTCCTGAATTGAAAAAAGCTTCTCGCGAAAATTCACTCAACCTTCATTTACATTTTTTAAAGCAAGCTTGTAGAATCGAAGTTGACATGTGCATTATATTATGGATTGGAAGATATTTCGAATCTCACGAGAATTTCCTTGGATTAAAGAATTAAAGAAATTTATAGAAGTTCACTTGATCCTCTCAACTTGAATTGTATTTTTGGATTGTAGAATCCAGAATCGAGCCAGAATTTTGATATTTTCTCTTCTTCTAAGTTTAGGTTTATTAAAATTTAATCGTGAAAGGGGGTGCGAGGGGGTAAAAAATCCGACCTGCCGGATTCGAACCAGCGACCTAAGGATCGTCTGCAGGTGTGCCCACTACAGTCCTCCGCTCTACCAACTGAGCTAAGGTCGGATTTGCTATCATCCAACCTCTTTACTGATATATATTTTCATAAATTCTATTTCGGTCACTTCCTATAACTCCTTTTGGATTCTGGTATTAAAAAATTGATGGACGGAGTTAGCGTTCGTGAAAGCTACACATGGGAAGGAGGCATAAGAAGGATTTATTTAGCGTTTTGGGAAACGAAGGAACATTTCTTTAATCATATGGTGGGAGCCTAACATCACCTCTGCACTGTTGGATTCATTTTCCAGTCCACCAATCACAGATTTTTCTGCTCATATGCGGGATGGGGGTGCGCCAATCCGCCTCCACGTAACCGGACCGCCAGAATCATCCACGCGCCCAACTGGTGTGTGTGTCGTAGCAACTATTCCTCATTATCATAAGGCACTACCCATAGGCCCAGCAGGGTTAAGCGCGCTCTTCACCGTTGTCCCCTTCCATGCCTTGCCTTGCCGGTGACCGAATTTACAAACACTCGCCTGCGTCTTTAGGAATTGCCTCCATCGTTCTCCGCCCAAATTCCTGCTTTTGAGTAGATTCTCAGCCTTTCAGTTCCATTTTTCTTAGGGCACCGCGGGCTTTCGGGGTAAGAACATGATACACCGTTTTCTTAGTTTGCCGGATAGCACAGCTTTCCCTCCTGGGAATTTGAGGATGCCTCGTCTGTTGTTGAGAAACACCCCTGAGGATTTTTTGCTTCAATTTTGTGTTTTTAGTCTTAATTGCGTCCATATCACATTCGGTTACTTCTCTTCGGTGTTATATCTTGCTTACTTGTTTCTGATATCGTTTGTTGGCTGGAAGTTTGTTTTCAATTTTATTTATTTTTATGCATGCACGTCATTACCAGTTTTAGTTTGCATGCCTCATACATGGCTTTTGCTTTCCGACTATCACTGATGGCTATTAATGAACAGCAAATATATGATCATCAATTTAAGCATGACTTTTTATATGTTCGAATGATCCCTTGCTTTTCTGATAGAGGGAGGCGAGGCAATAAACCTTTTCTTTTTTCAATGGTCGAGGCTTTGAGTCTTTTGGTGAAATGAGGATTACAAAGTGTACACCAAATGGTTTCCTAAATCATTTGTATTTTCTCAGTACCCTTGTGTGTTGAATTAGTGGTAAATTATAACATTGAAATTGAAGCAAAGCTTAAACTTCTTTCCGGGCTTGATTATGAAATTTATGCTCTTTATATTTGACTCATTCTCATGATGAGGTTTTCTAATCTTCAAAGGCATTATTCTTGAAAGTCACTAGCTTTCTGTTGGATAACTTGTTTGGTAAAGACCACGAGTACTTTATCTGTTCACAGTTGTGTAGATTGAAGATCGATGACACGCTGGCTGGGGCTTCAAGAGCAAGCAATTTGTGTCGTATTGTTGCTGGTCAGCATTACCAATTGAAGGAAAAATGCAAATTCTAGGCATTATTGGTTGACTGAATCACTAATGTGTTGTTTTTCAACTAAAACTGGAGGGAAATAATGGCAGCACGCTCTACTTCCTCCATTGAAAGATCAGGCACTAAGCAGCTCAATAACATAGGCATTTCTGGAGCTTTGCCGTCATCCTTGTCAGTCCTTTCAACCCCGATAGGAGAGGCATTTGCCAAATTTTCCGATTCTCAGCCGGCTGTCATGGCAAAAGAGTTTATGACTGGGCCTATAGGTCAGCCGAGTCATTTAAATTCCAGCGGAGCAGTTGGGCACATTTTTTCATCTTCACCTGGATATTCAACTGATCTTCATCACTCATCTCTTTCGCCTCAGGAAAAACACTCAACAAGTGCTCATTTCATTTCACAGTCATCCAGTAACATCTCTTCATTGCCATTTTCTTATTCTTCAAATAGTGGACCGCTTCTTTCTTCTACGCCAAATAATTATTTCAAAGAAAACAGTGCTTCCTGGAATGTAGAAACCTTGCCCAACTTTCTTGATTTCCCTGTACATACTACCACCGAGAATAGTCAAGCAGAAAATAGTGCCTGCACTGTGATGGCATCCGAGGAGTACTGTAAGCAGAATGAATGGCAAGAGTGGGCTGACCAGCTTATGGATGACCCTTTGACTTCGAATTGGAATGAGCTTCTTACTGACAACATTCAAGACCTGGAGCCAAAGGTTAAGTTTCTGGTGACTCAATTCTATATTATTAGCATGCAAATTATTCTGATCAGTAATTTCTTGAAGCAAAATGTTATTGGATCTCATTTTGTTGCCTTAGGTGGCGTGCCATGTTTCAAAACCATCTTCACATATTCCAGGAAACCAGTCCATAGGTCAGCAGCAACTTCCTGCTTCATCTGGAGACAATTGTGTTGGTGCCCTCCCAACTTCCTCAGCAAGTTCTGCTCCTGCCAAGCCACGGATGCGTTGGACACCAGAGCTTCATGAGGCCTTTGTGGAGGCTGTCAACAAACTTGGTGGCAGTGAAAGTATGTTCATTTTTCTTTCTCACTTTCTGCACAGTCCTCAGCTCTTGTTTATGAAACCTTTGCCTCATTTTTTTTTTCCTTTTGCTCTTTAACTGTTTTTCATTTTACAGGAGCTACCCCTAAGGGCGTGCTGAAGCTCATGAATGTTGAAGGGCTGACAATATATCATGTTAAAAGTCACTTGCAGGTTTGTGCACTGACACTAAAAGTCTAGATTTGCTTGCTGCCATTTTTCTTTACCGAAACCGCTATTGCTCCATGAAATGCAGAAATACAGGACTGCTAGATATAGACCGGAACCATCTGAAGGTAAATAAGATATGAATTGTAGTATTTGTACCGATGCAGGTACTAGTACCCATTGACATTGATGTAGTTCTATGCCAATCTTGCACTATCCAACAATTTTTGTAAGCGATGAAAGTTTTGTGTAATCCATAATTGGATTTAAGAATCACGCCAAATAGATCAATTTTGTAAAACATGCTTTTTGAACATATCCATATAATCAACCCTACCTAATGGGACAAGGCCTATTGTTGTTGTTGTGTGCTTTTTGAATATAACTGAGATTGACATAAAAATGCTTTTCTAACATAATGTGGTAAGAATGTTGCCTTTCTTATGTTGCCTATGTCAGGTACATGTTAATATGTATTCATTATTCAACATATCAATATCTTCAATTTTATCTGTATTCACGCGTACCTGATAAGGAGATGTGTTCTATATGGGTACAACAATAAAATTCCTGTATCTGCTTCTTTGGATCCATTATATGATATGACGACAAATATAAATGCAAATCAACTAGCTTCTCCCCCAGCCCCATTATTATTTCTGTCTCCTAAAATAGGTTGTTGATCAAGAGCTTAGAAGCGCCCATTTGGGATGATTATAAAATCTTTTACTGACCAAATGCCATGCATATGATGTCTGAAGTAGTGTATTTTAAGTCTGTTCCTTTAAATAAGAGTCATGCTCCAATCTGTTGTCGGCTAATAAATGTTGTTGGCAGGATCCTCGGAGAAACGACTGACTTCCATTGAAGATATGCCTCCTCTAGACTTGAAAACGTAAGTAGACTACTTCAGGTGACTTTTGTTGTGTAGTGTTACTGTCAACGTGGCCTGCTTTCTAATGTGAAATTACAGATCAGAAGGTTTAACTCTTGGGAATGGTGATTGGCTAGTATTGAATGTGTATTACAGTGTAATATCTGTGTCGAAATATCTTGCCGTAAGGTAGTTAGCTGCCAATTACCAAATTAACCTATAGCTATATTGAAATTTTGATGGATGAACTACTGTTCCCTCTCTCCTGGGGAAGTCCAAATTATACTCCCCTCCTCAGATATTAAAAAAGTGTGCTACAATAACTCCCCTTCCAACAAAAGCTAAGTTATAATTATACCTGTTTTGAGCAAAATGCCCTTGTAAAGAACAAGTATTAAAAATGTATTTGGACAGCATAAGAAGTCACTTTTTCAAATTGAAAAAAGAATAAATTTATGATTTTCAGTACAAAATAAATGATAAATGTTTGAGAAATACATTTTGTAGCAAGCTACTTATTTAAAAGAGAAGCCACTATGATCATGAGGGTATTTTGGGCATCTTCTGGTTTTGAGGGAGGTTTGTTTATATTTACATAATAGAGGAGATAATTGTATAATTATTGATTTTACCATCTCTCAAGGGAGGGGAGTGTAACTTACCCAAATATGAAATGTGGATGCCATGTATCAGTAATGTTGGTTTCTAGTTTGATGTATTTGGAGGGAAAATCTGCATGTTCAATTATGTTAATTAGTAAATAGTAATTATACTCTGGAGACTGATAATAATACCTCACGGAATAGGCATGTAAGTTCTATGCAATCTTAGCATGTGGTCTGTTTCTTCTACGGTCTATGGCAGTAATTATAGATATATTTGACGATAGATTTCAGAAGAAAACAGGTAAACCTGGTAGTTAGGGGAAGGTTCAGGAATGAACTCTAGGCCTAAAGATTAAAAAGAAAAAGAAAAGAAAAGAAAGAAACAGACTGTGTGAGTTCAACTATCAACTACATTCTGCCACAAGACTGGATTAGTATAATCAAGAAGGGACTTTTCAAGGACATAAATTCTGCCACAAGACTGGATTAAGGCAATAATAAGAGGGCCGATGATTTAATTGTTCTAACGGTTCTAACGGCAATCTATGTCAAAACTAGCGGTCATATTTCATGGGCCGAGACACGCTCTGACATAATATATGGTAATTGTATTCATATGCTGACTTCATTGCTGCGCCGTTGACAGTGGTATTGAGATCACTGAAGCGCTGCGACTGCAGATGGAGGTTCAGAAGCGGTTGCATGAACAACTTGAGGTATGAACTATTCTTCTTGGAATCTTGTGGCATGGTCATACGGTGACTACGTTTATATGCTTAGGAAAATTAACTAAAGGTAGTTTTGGTTCTGTTGAGTATTGATGAGAAGTTTTGTTTCTGCTGTCACCAGAATTAATTTCTGTAATAATGTCCAGCATATAGTTATGTCCACGGAAAATAGGCTTAGGGTTTCTTCTTCCCCTTTATTTTTCCCCCGTTAAACATGCACCAATATGTAGCGATCGAGGTATCTAATTGCTTTATTGTCTCTTTCTCCTAAGGTGATCATGTATTTTGTTTCATAGTCTGATGAAGTTATTCCTCTTGCTGTCCTTTTCTGTGTCAGATTCAACGAAACCTACAACTTCGAATAGAAGAACAAGGAAGGTACCTTCAGATGATGTTTGAGAAGCAATGCAAATCTGGCGCTGACAAGAAGTCATCATCAGCAGCTCCCGCGGAGAATCCATCTGGAGAGTCTTCAGATGCTGTCAAAGATTGTCCTGCCGAAGGTGAAGTGGAGGACCATTGCAAGTCAGGCCGTGATCAGGCTAATGGCACTGCTGCAGTTGGGGAAAGCTCTCTGGAAGTGGGTATGAAGGATGATGGACCTGAAAAACAAGCTTCTGATAACCCTAAGCTACAAAGCAGTGAAGAGAGTGCTCCAGCCTCCAAGAGGCAGAGGACGGACGAGTAACTGAGTAAGCCGTATGATCTCCCAGATCAGCGTTGAACTGACAGGGCAATGCTGATTTACGAGAGATTTAAGTTAGTAAGACTTGGCTAAATGATGGGTAGAGCTCCATAACTTATAAATTCCTACCTCTCTCTTGTGTTGAACGACTAATTGCGAGTTGCATGTGTAATTCGTTGTCCCAAGAGGATGAGTCAAAATTTTGATCATGACATTCTTCACCACCTTTTATTTCTTAGTGGAGTCTAGTTATGGGAGGATGACGATGGGATTCTGAAGTGAGCTCTTACCCTGTGAAGAAACACATTAGTGGGGAATTAAGCATACTACTAATAAAATAAGTTTAAAATTACCATAATTATTGTGTTTGCCAGGTACACTTGTAGCCCTTACAGGAAGACACGTTTGCAGGTGGCTTTAAGGACGGTCAGTGTTCTCCACATTGTTTCAATTGCACAGGATTGGGTTTGTGTTTCACATTGGGGCTTTTTTATTGGTTGGTTCCTACTAATTAGTTTGACTCTCCATAAAGCCTGTCCTGTCCTGTAGGCGAAGCAGCCATGAAGGCCCTGGGAGGCCTTGCATTAGTCGCACAAAGGAAGAGATGCCAACGCAAATGAAAGTACTAATCACTAAATATATGATATTTGATAATTTAAATGCAACTGAACTGTTGTCTCATGCTTCATGTGGAATCTGGTGTGAATTATATTGTTCATTATTTATAAATCTATGTTTTTTTTTTTTGGTAGTGTTTGTAAGTGTAGGGACCCGATGAGGGGGGAAAACAGGCTAGTAAATGATATAATGGAAATTTTGCCAAGTTAAGCTATCGAAAATAAAATTTACTGAAAACTCGGAATGGGATGCGCATTCCTGAGCATCTTAACTTTTCCCAAAATTTGCCAAATGGGTACATCTATTCGAGATGAGATTAAACGTGATATTCTTGTTTTATTCATAAATTATTTTTAACATATTTTATTGAAATTAAAAAAAATTAAAATTTATTAACTATGTTTAAAAATTTATTAAATTATTAACTTTATCTTTGTTTTATATATATATATATATATATACACAACAATTTATTTTCTATTTTTAACATTTAATGAAAAGTAAAAAGAAACATTTGTAATGAAAATTTGGATGAAGTGATTTATAAATAAAATAAAAAGTTTCTTCTCTTTCTACTCTATGAATAAAATTAGAGGGAATAACAAATTAGAATTATGGACTTCAAATTTAAAATCAGGTTAATGATACTAATAATAAAATTTATGAAATAAATAATATATAAAAAAATCTTTCATGCAAGCAATCAAGGAATGCTCGCTCACTTGTAAGTTGTAACTAATATTTTTAGAATTGAATTAGATATTGAATCGAGAAGGTTAACGATTTATAGTTTACATGGTTCAATCGGTTGGACCAATGGTTAACTAAGTGATATAATAATTAAATTAAAAAATTATATATGTATTTAGTAATCTAAATATAAGAAATAAATAAAAAATTACTACTTAATTTAAAAATAAAATTAAATATTTTAAGTTTATTATAACTTAACAAGTCACAAATGATTAAAAAAATTAGTCATTTTGTTAAGAAAATTTGACAAAAATAAAAAATATTTGTTTTGAACAATCTATTTTTGAAAATTGAATATGGTTTCCAGCTTGATTCTGGTTTTCAGTTTGACTATCGATCCAAAATGGTCAAACCCAACTCAAACCCTAAAATAATTTTTTTACATGTTAATTGAGCCAAAATTTGAACCAGTCGACAGTCAAATCAATTTGACCGTCCGATCCGATTTGATTTTTAAGATCATTGCTTGTAATTATTGGTTGGTAGATTAGAAGCTTGCTTGCTCAGGCAATTTGTGCATTGATTTGATTTGAATAAAATTTTCAAAGGAAAAATTTATCTTTTTTTAAATCATTACAATAAATAACATAGTAAAAAGATCACATGGAGAAAAAATTGTTTGTGATATCTAATATGAAAACTTTAAATATACATTTAACAAATATAAACGTTATATTTTAAATTCATCAATTCAAAGAACTATCGATAAAAAGAATAAATGGATAAAAAAAATAGAGTTGAATGACAAAAATGCCATGAAACTTTTATGCCAGAAGTGCCTGGTATTCAAAATTTTTTAAAGCAACGTTACTTTAAATTTTTTAAAAATGATGCAACTTTATCCCGTTGTTAATCTAGATTAATGTTTGACCACGAAAATTTAATTTGACTGGAAATTTTACACGTGTCGCTCTCCTCTCTCTCTCTCTCTCTGTGAACTATTTCTCTTCTCCATCTTTTTCTTCTCTTTTTGCATTCGCATGGTAAGAGTCCATGACTATAAATCTCCCTTCAGATCTTGCTTCTTGTGTCCACCTTCGAAATCTTTTCTTGTAGTGCTAGAGATCTTTACTCCAATAACTCACTCACTATAGATCGCAATATCATGTCAGGTCGATTTCGGGTCTTCACGAGTCCTGTGTCGGGTCCAAGGTGAGAGATCAAGAGAGGGTTTCTTTGTTCTGGTTCATTGCTTCTTCTTGAGTCTTGCTTGCTACTATACTGCTAGTCTATTTTTTTGGGATGCATATACAATATAACTAGTTGGTTTGAAACTTACTCTCTGAGAAATTGAATTCTTGTTCTCTTTACCTGACATGATTAGCTTTAATTTGGCTACTGATTTTAGCCACTTAAGATTTCAATTTTGTTGATTGGGTTGCTCTCATTGATTTCTAATTGATTTCTAATTGATTTAATGAAGTTATTGTGCTGTTAATTGTGACTTTTATTCAATGATTCTCACCTCTCACGTTCTTGTTGGCTTGGGGTGCTTGTGGAAGAATGCGATACTGGATGAAGAAAGAGAAGGAAGAAGATGGATATAGTGAGACAGGGTTTAGTGAACGGGGATTTGTGTATTGCAATAAAATTCAAAAGAGATTCATATTTTTCTAAGAGAATGTTATGAAAGGGTATTGTAATAACCTAAGAATTTAAGTAAAATTAAATATGTAAGTTTGTATTTTAATAGTAATAATATTAATATTTGGAATCATTGACCGCAAGGGATGTCGGTGTAGTGGAGGATTGTACAAATGTTATTTTAGCATGTCCCGTGCTCGAATCTGATAGAGGTGGAAAGGGAATTTCATTTTTGCTTTTGCTTTTTCCTTTTTAAAATTACCAAACCTTTCAAATTTGGATTATTTCTTCCTTCCCTTCTTTGATTTTTCCAGAACGGTGAGAGGGGGAGAAGCTTTGATTTTTGCCATTTCTTCATCCTCTCACGGCACTTTGTTTTTTTCCTTCTCGTTTCTAGTGGTCGCCGGTAAGGGTGGAGACTCGTTGTTGCTCTGATATGTCCAAGTTCTCCTTCATGCTCCCTGTCTCTATTTATCTTCCTTGTCTGCTGTTCTGTCTGTGTCATTCATGTTCAAGTTGCTGCTGGGTGTGAGAAATCACAAGGTGTCGAAGCTAGTGGTGATGTCATGAGCTTGGTCTGGTGCTGTTGAAGTGATTTTCTTTCTCCTCTTGCGCTTGGTGCTCATCTTTCCCTCTCCCCTGTACAGCCATAAACTTTGACTCCTCCTCCCCTTTTCTCCATCATTCACGCTTCAAGGTGAGGAAGCCTCAAGTCTTATTTTCTCTTGCTCTGCATATATATGACTTGATGATTGAAGTTGTGAAATTTGTCTCCTTTATTGTTGCTGTCCATGACCATATATAGATGCATAAGAAGAGGAAACTTGATTTAAATTGAAACTTGTGATTGTAAAAGGAAAGTGATGATGATGTGAGTTGAGTTCGAATGGATTATTGATTACAATATTGATGTTGAAAAATGTTAGGAAAGTGAAATTGAAAAGAAAGAGATTAGTATTAGTTTAATATTAATGCCCATAAAGTGTTTGATAAAATGCATATTAGGAGAGTTTTGTTTGATTTTGTATTTTTGAAATTTCATTGGTCATTGTGAGAAGTATGTTAACACAAAAGTTATTGATTTATGAATTAACTTGTAGATTGCAAAGGAATTTAATTATGAATTTGTATGTAACTATTTAAATTCTTAAAAATTGTATGATTATTGGTAAATTGTTGGATATTTTAATTGAATAGTCAGAAATAATGCACCTAAGGTATTTAGTGCAAAGCCTAAGAGAATTTTGTCTTAAGAAGTAGGTTGGCATGGTTAAAGTAATGTCGGGGAGAGTAGTGTTGTGAATGATAATACTTGGATAAATTGTAAAGCATAAATTTTGGTTTTAAAATTTTAAATGATGATAGTTGATTTGGAATTGTATTAGAAGTAGAAAGAGGTTTTTATAAAGTTATAAAAAATTTAATAAATTTTATTTATTCATATCCTCATAGGGTGTGTGGAAGAAGAGAATTCTGATAGTAATTGAAGGAAAGAAAGTCTGACATGTAAGTAAATAGCATCACAATTATTTTATTAATAATAGTCTTTATTGAAAATTTTATTTTATCTCTAGGGAGGTCATTTCTAATTATTATGATAAGTTGGGTACATTGTTAACTCAATTATTTTATTATGTGAAATATGAAATTACGGCAAAGAATAAATATGATGTGGCAAGTGCATGTATTTTTTCATATGATTCTTATTTTTAAGATTTATAAAATTATTTTATTAGCTTCAAAAAATTTTGATTGTCCAATCAATGCAATAATGAACATCATTTATGAGATTTTATTTTGATAAGTATTGAATTGATGTTTACAATAATTCACATGAGTTTTCCATTGAAAATGAAAATTTTATTTCAATAATGATTGTCTTTTTTGCATAGTTAAAATGTGATTTTGAGAGAACTAAAAGCAGAACATTGTCACTAACAACAATTCCTTTAACCCATAGCGCTATGATTAATGACTAGTTAATTTAACTTTTGTGAGCTTTGATCTTACATTCATTATTTGTAGGTTTAATATCTGTGATTGATTTCATGGCTGCAAGCTGCATTTGGTTAGTATTATCCTTGTGGATTGTGTGTCCACGTTTATTTTGTAGCTCACGCTACATTTAGTTACTTACCCTAGTAGATTATATGTCTATGTTTGTCTTTATGGCATAAGTTACGTTTAATTATTTTATCTTCATGAATTGTGTGTCTACATTTGTCACTTGTTATGTTAAGTCCTTAAAATTCTAGATTTTTAATCAACATGTGTAATTAAAATTTTAATTGTTACAGTTAGTATAAGTGTACTACTTGTATTCACATATGAACAATTTATTCTCCTCAAACATAATTAGAATCAAGTAAATTTTGGTTCACTCGCATTTTTGGTTATGATTGAGATTTTTTAGATTTAGTAATTTTATTATATTGAATTATTCTTCTTTCAATTATTTTATGTAATTGTTAGTTTATTACTCTTACTCTTTTAAATTATTTTTTAGATGCTATTCATTAAAATTTATTTTGATCTCAAATTCATTAATTGATGTTGATCATACTGCTGACCTCTAAAGGACATATGACCATTTTGAGTGAAATTTTGCTTGACAATATTCCCTTTTGATGTAAATATTTGAACTCATATATTTTATTTTGACACACAACTAGAAAATAAGATTTTTATGTTGCTAATTAACATCAATTTTATAAAAAATCATAGTAAAAAAAGCGACAGCATAAATGTAATTATTTATAAAATTTTTAACATTGATTAGAAAAAAAAAACTGATATAAAAAAGCTATTCCACATCAGTTTTTTAAAAATCGACGTGAAAAAAATTTAAAAATAAAAAAGAATAAAAAACATAAACTTTTTACATTGATTTTTCAAAAACTCATTTTATGTTTCAGCATCTTTAAATCTTTAATTTTTTCAAAAAATAGCTCTCTCATACTCAAAAACTATCGAAAAGGTTTGACCTTTCACCATAGTTGCCACCGACTCATTCCATTCTCCATCCATCCACTGCCGTCCGTCGTTGCCATTCTCTGTTCATTGTTTTTTGTCATTTTGAGATTTTAAAGATTAGCGGGTTTCATTTTTGAAGTTCTTTTCTCCATTTGCTTTACTTTCTTCTTCTATTGTTGATGATCTTCTTCAAATATATTTTTTCTTTAAATTCTTCCATTTGCTTCCTCCTCCATTGTTTGATTGGGCAATTCTTCAAGCACCTTTCTCCTTAACTTTTTTAATTTGTAATTCAACTCTTCTCTTCTTTCTTCTTCCTTTATCACTTAAAACTTTCACCTTTCTCCTCCTTACCATTTCAACTCATAGGTGTGGGTGTTGCTCATCTTCTTCTTTCTCCTCTTTCATTTGAGAGTTTTTGCAAACTCTACTATAAGTCTTTATTTTTATTTATTTTTGTCAATTTTTACCGCATATTGTTATTAGGTTTATTCAATTAAATATTTTTATAGTTAGGTATTTTAATAAATGAATTAGTGCTTTCAAATCTTTATTTTAAGTCTCAAATTTATATTTAATGATAGAAGGGTATTTGTATAGATGAATTTAGGTATTAAGATTGTTTGGTTGGTTTAGTTAACATTGCTATTGATGTTGGATTAATTATGTATTTTTTCGAAGTCTGAAAAATAAGGAAAAATTTTGTTAAATTTTTTAAAAAGTTAAGTGAAACTTATATTAAATTAGTCATGCTATTAGATTAGTTATTGTGATTCTGTTGGCTAATTATTTATATCTGCTGTACAATCTATACAATTTATAGATTTTAAGTTCTAAATGTATAAAAAAATAAATAATTTTTTTAAAAATAAATTTTAATAATGATTATTTAAAAAACTATTGTAAAAAAACTTTTTACAATAATTATATGCAAATAACTATTGTAGAAAGTTACTTTTTACAACGATTATTTGCAAATAGCTGTCGTGGAAAGTTACTTTTAACAATGATTATTTGTATATACCTGTTGTAAAAAGTTTTTCACAATAGTTTTTAAATAATTGTTGTTAAAAGTATTTTTTAAATTGTTTGTATTTAAAGATAAATGACTGATGTGAAAAATCTTTTTCATGCTAGTTAAATAACTAACATAGAAAGGCAACTTTTCACTTTTTTTTTTTACTTCCTCTTAATAACTAACGTAAAAAATTTTAAAATAACTATTATTAAAAGTCCTTCCTACAGTAGTGAAAGTAGATTAGGTGCTCATATAGTCTACAGTTAAGATTTATATTTTGTCATATATACTATTTGCTAACTAGAAGGAGTTGAGCTCTTGACTGACTTGATATTTTGATTGAAATAGTGTATTGTAGACTTTTCAGAAGCTTCAATTTGTAGAAGTTTTGTCAAAATTTTTATAAAATATTAATTTTATTATTATTGTTGTTGTTGTTGTTGTTGTTGTTATTAAGTATGTCATGATTTTCAGTGCAATTCAATTATGTTTTAAAATGAAAAGATTTCTCAATTTATAGCTAAAGGATGTATGACATGATTTACATCTTGTGCCAATCACGTTATATTTTTAGAGCATGATAGTTATGCTTGGTGATATTTTTTGCTTCGTTGATCTCGTAGATGAAGATGAATGCATTGACGTTCTTGAAGAAAATTACTCAAAATTTGAGTTTTCAAGAGCTGATGGTGGAAAAGAATCAAGAAGAATGGATTTGAAGAATGTCTTGTATAAAGTTGGGTCATCAAAAGCAAAAAATTTAACAGTAAAACATCAGTTTATGTTAATAGTAAGATAAAATTGCACTTTTTCTACAAGTTTTAGTATGGCATTGTTTCAAAAATAAAAAGTTAAGACATTAGATGTCTCTCATAAAAAAGTTTTAGAATATTTTTACCCTTTAATTTAAGAATACATGGATATAATTATATTTCAATAAGAAGTTATGACCTAATTTAAATACATTTTAAACATAAAATAGAAAATTGAGAAAAATTCGCCAAAAACAAAGGAAAGGGAGAATATAATTTACTTTTGACTTTGACAGCTAAGGAATTAAGCATATGAACTTCACTGGTGAATTCCGAATATTCAAAAAGAATATTTATGGTCCCTAAAGAGTAAGTTGTCCTTCAAGAGAAAGAAATAATCAAAGGAAGAAAGATGAACACTTTGTGGTGTGTTATACATAAACAGGAGAAAATCGTTGAGATTAGTAATATTAAACGCCTAATGTTTACTGTGACAACTAAAAATTGATCTGTGACAACTATCCCTGAGTTTGACAGTAACAAATGGGAAAAGAGAGCGATGACCATTAAGAGCAAAGCAAGAGATTATTTATTGTTAACACCAACTTAATTTCTACGTCGGAGAGGATAAGATCCGTTGATCAACTAAAATTGTGGCCTTCGTAAAAAGACAAGTTTGCCGTACCCTCAAATTTCACCTTCAAGTCGGATCTTCACGGGTTGCTTTTCGTTTCGAACAGATTATGCAATGAGTTAGACAAAGAAAGAAAGACAGACAGACAGAGCAGAGATCGGTGTTTTCGACCTAAAATGATTTGAGACTTGGCTCTTGCAGCCTGGTTGCGTTTTTTCTTTCTTAATAGACAGACACGTTAACTTTCAAATATGAATAAGTTGACAATTTTTTATGCGATAAGTTGAGATATCAAAATACCCGGTAAACCATATTAAAATCTCGAGAAGTATATTTCAATATATATTCTTTAAAACCATCAACTCAACTAATTAACGTGTCTGAGTATCCCACAACTACATCAGAGAGGAAGATTATTACAAATTAAAGAAGGGATGAAATAATAATTATAATTGGTTCAATTTGGAGGAAACTAAACAGTTAAGTACAAAAGAAGACATCATAAATCTTTAATTAAGTAGGGTGCCGACAATTTAAAAATCGACTCTTGATTATATATTGCATGACATATTCACGTAAGGTGCATGCACATACTAGGACATATCAGTGCCGCAAAATAGACATACAAAAGACAAGAGGGTGCCCAAAACAGGCACATAACACACACTTCTGGGAGTTACACAAGAAGAATTAATTAATGTAATCAAATGATGACAGAAATTTATCTCTTATAGAAGGAGAAAACGATGTTTTGTAACAACAGCAAAATGCCAACTAAAATAACTGCAGAGTGATGAGTTACGTGGGTGCTATATATATATATATATATATATATTTACAACTGGCTAGGAAGCTACTCCTCCTCTGATCCTATTTAAGCATCATTTTAGTATTTTCATCGAAACAAAAAAAGTTTAAATTTATTAGCTCTATCTAAAAATTTAAAAAGCTTTTAATTTACCTCTATTTAATATAACTTTAAAAATATAATATTATAATATTTAATAAACTTTAATTTCTAGTATTAATTTCATAGGGATAAACCGGTAAACGGGTGTCTTCTAAGTAGAACTAAAGTAAACAATCTCTCTATCCTAGATAAGTAGATATTATATTTTGTGTGTGTGTGTGTGTGTGTATTGAGAGAGTACAAAGAAGAGGGAAGGAAGGTGGTGATGGAGCAAATCAAAAGCAATGGCTTAAAGACATGCCAACCCACAGGTTTGATGGAAAATGTAATGCGTTCATGCATTTTGTTTTCTTATAAATTCTTCTTCCTCCTCCTCTTACTTCCCACTCTTGTCTGCATGTATACCATGTCTCCTCCTGCAGCTTCTCAGCTTCTCCATTCCTCTCTTCATCAGGTGAGTGAGCTTCTTCTCCTATATATATATATATATATTCACACCCACAGGTTTTGCCAAATATTTTCGTTATACTGAGCATGAGTAGTTTCATGCATTAATACTTTAAATCATTTGTTCCATATAATTTGTTCATGCTGGCTTCGCTATGTATATGCATAACGAAACAATTATTCATTGTCTCCGGCTGCTACTCATATTTTTTTTCATTAAACTATATATATTGTGATTTTATCAATTTTTTTATTATTTGTTATTATATTAAGAAAGCAATGCCACGATCGATAAAGGCTGCGTTGTGATTATTTTTGACAGGGAAACAAGGACAGTAATCCAAGCGAGTTATTGCTTGCCCATTCTCAAGCTTCATCCTCTTCTCCAACTGGTAAGCGTTTCTTTCTTTGGCTAACCAATTATTTTTGGAAACAAAATTAAGCTTCCATGTGTTAAATTTTGCTACTATATGTAGCTATATATATATATATATATATATATGCGTGTGGGGTATAAACTATCATTAATTACATTATCAAAATTACAAACAGATGGATTCAAAATTTTAAATAACACAGATAGATGTTATCAAATATACACATAAAAATTTATATCGTATTTTTATAGCTTTGATATGACATCGCCATGTTGCAATTCTGACAGAAATCAAACAAATAAAAAGCGGGACTGATACAATATAGTTTATTTATTTCTTCTCGATCGGACTGAGAGGGATTCAAAAGTTGAAAGTGCAACTAATGGAGAAGAAAACTGAAGAATTATATGTATTATATGGTTTTCCTTTCTGAGAATTAATTACTGGTTTTCCGATTGTGTTTATTTTCAATCACGGGTCGTAGTTGCTGGCAAGGATTCCCTCGGCAATATTGTAGAATGCAGAGACAGGCAAAAAGACTACCACGAGGACGATGATTCCCTGTAAGAGATTTCCTTCTCTCTCTCGCTTCTTAAATGGCAAGAAATAAGGAGTTCAAAATCAATTTAAACCAGTCATACCAAACCAAACTAAACCAAAATGACATAAATCAATCAAAACTGATCATAAAATAGCTTTGGTTTGATTCTTCTTTTGGCAAAATTGATGGGTTCAGTTTGATTTAAGTTGTTTCTTTTGAAAATTTAAACCAAATTGAATCAAGTTTTATTATGTTTATTATATGTATTTTTATAAATTTGTCAAGGTTTTTTTTTCCCTTTTTAGGTTTAGCTATTTGTAAATCAAAATTACAGCTAGCTAAATATTAATTATAATTGTTTAAGATAATTTTTTATTTTTATAATTAAGTGTTTTAAAGATAATACATTAATTTTTAACAGTTAAATATGCTAATTAATTGTTAAAAAAATATTCTTTTGTGCTTAAGAGATTTTTTCATTGCAAATAATAGTTAATAGTAAAAAATTATTAGTGAACATAAATATGTATTGGTGATTATAAAGAATATTTCATTAAAAAAAATTTAAATTTGATTCAGACATAAATCAAATTGTACAAAAATCACCAAATCAAGTAGGAGAAAAAATCCAATAAGTCCTAAATTATAGTGAATCGATTGGTTTGGTTTGATTCGATTTTTTTTTAAAACCAAAGCAAATTGAACCTATAAACACCTTTAGTGAGAAATCATAAAATAATTTGGAAATAGTTTTCTTTTATATTTTTGATCTAGAAGAAACAAACTAAATTAAAGTTGCATGGCATATTTCCTTTTTTCCCTTCGTTTTTGCTAAAAGGTTTTTTATTTTTGGTTTCTCAAGACCTAATGGGAATTAGAGCTAATCTCTTACAACATGGCCAATCAAGAATTGAATCTTACTTTAGAGAGATGTTTATATTTAGTATTCGATAATGTTTTGAATAAGATTACCTCCAATAAGATAATACTTATGGGTTAAAAAAATTAATTTACAATTTAAAAGTGTAATTTATAAAATTTTTAATCGAGGCACTCTATTAAATGTAAATAAACATAAAAATATATAATTTTAACGATCACCAACTAATGTGCTGCGCGGTGGAAGTTAATTAAAATTTAAAATGATTTATAATTTTAAAAGGAGGGAGTACTAACTATAGATCCGAAAAAATCTGGTATTAGTTACTGAACCTTTTTTCTGTACAAAAGTACATGATGATTTCGAAATTTATTGTGGCAGTTCAAGGCAGCCGTTATGGCGCGTAGTGCCAATACCTTCAAACCTAATCAATCCATACCGCATAGTCATTGTAATGCGTCTCATCATCCTAGCTTTCTTCTTCCGCTTCCGGATTTTGAATCCTGTGCACGATGCATACCCCTTATGGCTTATTTCTGTAATCTGCGAGGTCTGGTTTGCTCTGTCTTGGATTCTTGACCAATTTCCCAAATGGTTTCCCATCACGCGCGAAACATACCTAGACCGCTTATCCATCAAGTTTGAGCATAAAGAGCCAAACCGTCTAGCCCCAATTGATGTGTTTGTAACTACTGTAGACCCTTCAAAGGAAGCACCCATTGTAACGGCAAACACCGTTCTCTCAATCTTGTCTGTTGATTACCCTGTTGAGAAGGTCACCTGCTTTGTCTCCGATGACGCTGCGTCTCTTTTGCTTTTTAATACCCTATCTGAAACAGTTGAATTCGCAAGAACATGGGTTCCCTTCTGCAAGAAGTATGGCATTGAGCCACGGGCACCTGAGTTCTATTTCTCTCAGAAAGTTAATTACTTTAAAGATAAGGTGCACCCCACATTTGTGAAGGAACGCAGGGCCATTAAGGTAGACACGTAGATGGGATATGGAATCTGCTTTCATTTATTTATTTCATGATTGTAGAATTTAAGGTGTAATGTAAGGCTACTTTTGTAAACTTGTTCTCTCTTGCAGAGGGAGTATGAAGAATTCAAAGTGAAAATTAATGCATTGGTGGCAAAAGCTCAGAAAAAACCAGAGGAGGGGTGGGTGATGCAGAATGGTGTGCCATGGCCGGGGAACAATACTCACGATCATCCGGGAATTTGTCAGGTTTGGCATTCCATCCCCAATTTCTTCCTGCTTGATTT